TAAGGGCGGAAGAGCGCTAAGAGCCGGCGGGTAGGGGCAGGGGCAGGAGCAGGAGGGGCTGTGCCCCCCTCCGGGGCGGGGTGCGGTGCCCCTTGCTGTAAGGCTGCCCGGCGCGGGCCGGTCTCCTGCGTGCTCGGGGGCGGTTGCAGCAGCGGGCGTTGCCGCGCACGGCAGCTCGGTCCCCGCCAGGCGGGGCGGTCGGTGCTGGGACGGGGTCTTCCCGCGCTGTTCTCCGCTGCTTCCTCAGTCAGAGGGCTGCCTTCCTCCCGCTTCCCTGCCCTGCTGCTGGAGGGGACTTTTACACCCCTTCTTCAAGAGACGCGGGTGAAGAGCCTCGCTAGTCGCTCTTTGTGGCCGGGGTAGGTGTCCTCTCGGCTGGGCAGCCGGCAAGGGGACTTGCGGTGTGACCCGGTCCTGCGCCAGGGTTTTGGCCGGTGCGAAGCCTGCGGGCAGCGTCTGGAAGCCCGTGCGGCCTCCCCTGGCGCTGCCAGTCGGGGAGGGGGCGGTGGTGCAGCAAGGCGCGGTATTTAGGGAGCCTTATGTAGGCAGGGAGGAAAAAAAAGCCTATTACTAGGGTAGGTCTCAGTCTAGGCACAACAAGTGGGTGAGATGCAGGATGTGGTGGGTAGAGGGATTTAGTGTTAAAACGAGCGTAGTTTTGCAGAGCAGAAGTGCAGACTTCCTTGGATCTAGATGGAGAAGTCGTGAAGCCTGAATAGATCAGGGACTGCCAGTCTTTTTGCCCTTATGATGTCTATACCAAAACCCTCGGGGGAATGAAGCTATAAATTTATAAGGTTTTCTTCTTGAAAACAGTTTTGATGAGAGCTTCCTCTCAGTTGTGCTTCTGTAACTCTTTATTGAGCTAGTGGTCTAAACTGGGTTACTCTAACGCATGCTTCTCTTGTTTGGTTCATTGCTTGGCCTGACAGTTTTATTGATGCAACTAAATTAGCAAGGCATGAGCGATGAAGGAAGTGATGATGTTCTAGGGCTAGTTAAGCCAGTAGTGTTGTTGGGGAAAATGATCTTCTTAAATTGTATCTCAAACGTTACATGACGATTACTAGAAAATTGCACACTTAGCACCGTGGTCCAGAGATGGCAGGAGTTTACTGACGCCCTTGTGAAGCAAATGTGTTTGGGTGAAACAGGCTGCTGAGTCCTCGGAGTGTCTTGTTGATGTCAGCCTAAGTCTGCGGACTGTTTTCCTCTCATAGCTTGTGTTTATTGCTCAGCAGTCCTTGGGACTTTATGCTGATATAAAAAAAATAAAGTCCCACCATGGAAGTCGATCGAGAACTGTGTGCAGCTCAAGAGCTGGAGTTCAGATATTCTTATGTATGTTTTCTTGTTGTAGAAGAATTTCAGACAAGTGAGAGTTCGTGTAGAGTCTTAAATCATATTTTTGACAGTTATTTCTCAGATGAAGGCTACAGTTTTAGCTTTAAAAACTAGCACCATGCTATTAACAACCTTTTTCAGTCAGTTTGATCATTTCAGTGACAGAATCATGTTTTATCACTTTTATCTTTTCACAACTGATGTGCCTGAAATGACAGACAGATTCTAATCCTTTAACATCAAAAGAGCTGTTAATTAGAATGGGTCAATCATTTTGTTAGTTTAAAATGGAAAAGAGTATGCCTATCTGGGTGCTACTGACCCTTACTTTGTTTTTCTGCAGAGTTTTTTCTGCATACAGTTTAGAAGGAAATGCAGCATAACCTTTAGATCCTGCATTATGTTTGCGAGATAGGCATCTTTTAGAAAAAAAAGAAACAATGCAGTAAGATATTAAATGAAGCAGTAATTACTGCAGGTTTTCTTCTTGGATTTGTCCTTATTTTTTAATACATTTAATGTCTCCTTTATGAGAGGAGGAAGCAAATTCCTTTACTTGCTGACAGAATCAAAATTTTGCTTTTTGTTTCTCAGTTTGCTCATAAGACCTATAACTTCTTTTTACAGTAGCTTATGCCCTTTAATGAATTATCTGGTCGCTGAGATGATCTGTAGTTTAATCTGCAGTTTAGAAATGCCTATCTAGGCAAAGATTTTTCTCTGATTTCTACCTTAGAGATTGTTGTTAATGAACTGGGTATTGCAAGCAGCTATAGGAATATATAGCTGCTGCTGCAGATACTTTTGTAGTACAAGAGATGGCATGTTTGCCTCACAAGGTTTGGCCTTTTGGAGTAACTTTTCTTTTTTTAATAGACAACATGGCAAGCCCAGGTAAAGATAACTTCAGAATGAAAAGCTACAAGAATAACGCACTTAATCCCCAAGAAATGCGCAGACGAAGAGAGGAAGAAGGAATCCAGCTTCGGAAACAGAAAAGGGAAGAACAGGTAGGTATCTTGGTGAGCTGTTAACTGTTAAATGCTTGTGAAGCTAAATTCAGGTATGTGAAAGGACTTGAGCAGACTCCTCCTGTGGAGCAGAATCCAGAGCGCCAGGTTGAATTTCTGTTTTCTGTGCAATCTTGGGGAGCACCAGGCACTTCTCGACAGGATCATAAAACAAAAAAGTGAACAGAAGCCCTCTTAAGTCACTAGGGCATGCAGAGGAGAGACCTGTGTTTTAAGGTTAATCCTTAGTTTTACTGTTAGAAGGGAGAGGATTATTTTCATCTTTGAAGCCATACTTCAAATTGCCCAAGAGTTTTTCTACGGCAATTTGGTAAAGTGGCTACCAATTAGTGATCCCTGAACTATTACATATAACATTTGCAGTTGTCCTAATTGAATTTTTAGTGATCAGAGTACATGGAGCATTGTATAATTTAATGGTTTGTGGTAGTTCCTTTTTCCAAAATGTTTAATAGTTTCTTGCCAGGAAAGTAAGGAATGTAGTTTGTTTTTCTGCTTGGTCTAAAGTGACTGAATTTGTCTCCCACAACCTAGACAGTGTCCCAGGCACTGATCTACAGTCTTCTCTGAGGTGGGAATGCTTACCATTCTCCTGGGGAAGTGGTGCTACTGCATGGAAAAAGAATTTAAATTAGTTGGGCCAGAGAGGTAAGAGTAAGAAGTAGTATGATACTGGAGCATTTACCTGTGAATGGGTAACTCTGTTGCAGTTCCTGCTGAAAGTTTTGGTTTTGTCTTTTGTAGTAAATACTCCCTAGATAAATTATGAAAATACTGGGTGTTTCCTCTCCCATGCTGACTGTCGTAATAATGAGAATACAGTTATGTTCTCCTTGATCTTAATTTGTTGGACTGGTGTTTCTCAGTTCTTCCTGAACCGGGGAGAACAAGTTTATGCAGGGAGATGAGACTGCTTTTGCTCCAAAAGAAATTATAACTGGTAGATAGACCGTGATCCTAAACAAAAACAGTTTATACATTTCAACCAAATGCTTCTGTGTCCTTGTTGAATGCTAGAAAGGATGGCTGGTCTTCCAAAAGAAGAATGTTTCTTCTTCCTTTGTGGGTTTAAATGGAGTTAAACTTTGCTTATGTCCATGGTTCTGCAGTTGTTTCGTGTCCAGGATTGTGCCCAGTACAGAAGTGTGTTGAACAAGGGAGAGAATGCTTTGTTTTAGGTTCCTGTTTGAAATATGGGTAGATGTAAACATGGAATTGCTTCTGCAGTTTGGGGCATGTACAACAGCAGAAGTCTAGGTGTCTATAGACACCTCTAGGTCCTAGAGGACAAAAACTTTCAGGATTTAGCGGGAGGTTTCATTATTATGCTTACAGGTGAAATCTTACTCAATGGACTGAGATTCTAACATTTATTTTTAAAGATACCAACATAATATTCTTAGAATTGTTAATTGCAGTAGTTGTAAGTGTAGCACAGGATTAAAGATAAAAATTTAGGTTTGGTTTCTAGAAGAAAACGGGCTAATGCAAATGTTTTGCTTGTATGCCAGAAAATGAAGAGGCATTCATTAAGCACTACGGTGCAGGTATGTATTTTGAGTGTAGGCAGTGCATGCAGCCAATGTTAAAGCGATTTTTGGACGTAGAGAATGTTTAATGTTACATAATTTGAAAGTTCACCTTGAAGCTACACCATTTTTTCTCCAACTATATTAAAATAATGTTTCTGTTTTAATCTTTCTGCAAGTGTATATTAAATATAGGTGCTGTTTAATTGGCATGCAAAGAAAGTACATAGATCTTAGACCTTCTGTTGAAGGGAGGTACGGGATGTGCTGAAACACAAACATTGGCTCTGTGCTGATGACTTTAGCCTATAAACGAAAAAAGGCGAAAGTAGCTTGTAGACTACTGTTTCCTGCTTAAAAATAAATGCTAATTATGAGTGGTGAGAGTAAAAAAAGATATGTATCTTCTTTTTCTTACATGTGGAAAAATTTACGGATCTTTGCTAATTAAAAAGAACTTCAGTTTTTAAATGTCTGTCTCAAGTGTTGCGTGGAGCTTATCAAGATACAGATATAGTAGTGTTTTTCTCCTTTATGTTCTTTAAACTTTCATGTAGAATTCCATTTGCATGGGTGAGTAGGAAGGTGAGTAGTTGAAATACTTTGATTAGTATTGGTGAAAGCATTTCTTCAAGTGTATGTCATCAATACCCACTCGATGGTAAACTCTAATGTCTCCCAAAAATTTCTTCTTCGTTTAGCTGTTTAAACGCCGAAACGTTTCTCTCCCAGGAAATGAAGAATCTATGGTAGAAAGTCCAATTCAGGATCCTGATGTGAGCTCTACTGTACCTATTCCAGAGGTAATTACTTTAGAGTGTGTTTAGAATGTTATCTGTTAATGTGCATGGTACGTTCTTAGACGTAAGAAATCCTCCTTTCATTTTTAGGAAGAAGTTATTACAGTAGATATGGTGCAGATGATTTTCTCGGATGATCCTGATCAGCAACTCACAGCAACGCAGAAGTTCAGAAAATTGCTATCTAAAGGTACGTAAACGTTGCCTGACTTTTTTTTTTTGTTGTTCCTTCTGTGGTGGTGTTACGAATTTTTTTTATAGAGTCAGTTAACCTTTAGTTTTGTTTTACTTTAAAATAGAGCTTGCTGAAACTTCTAGTTCTGTTTATAGAGAAACCGTGCCAAATCTATTCCGACCTAATGGCTAAATACAGAAAGCTTCATTATTCTAATGTTAAGTCTTTCAGACAAAGTAACAAAAGCAAGGATATTTTGATTGAAGTGTCCAGGGCAGTAACTAACTGCACACTACCATTACTTAACAGTACTTGTTGCAGTGATTCAATTTCTGATTCTCGTTCTGTATTTGAGGGGAGAAAAATTATATGGCTGCCAAAGAACAGTTGTAACTTTTTTCTGTTGAGACTGTAAGACATGCAGTCTTAAATTAATGCTGGTATTTGCATAGCATGATAGGTGAAGGTATGCTTGGTCATTTAAAATAGTATCCAATAATAATTGCTCTTCCACTGACCTGAGCTACTGATTGAGGGAACAGTGTTTTGTGATGAGTTACTAACATGCCAGTGAATATTAGTATGTGTTACTATTACTATACATAATAGGGTGTTTGCTAAATTATAGCACTTTATGGAGATGATCCTGCAGTCTTCTAAAGTCAAAAGTTTAGCTCCTTCATTTGAGATTAAAATGATTGAATGCTAAAAATTATGATAAGAACTGAGAATCATATTCATGTTTTGTGTCATACTGAAAAAGTAATTTATTTGGTCTTTTTGTTAGACTTACACAAATACGTTTGTTTTTATTCCCTAGAGCCTAATCCACCGATAGATGAAGTCATACAAAAACCAGGAGTAGTACAGAGATTTGTGAAATTTCTAGAGAGGAATGAGAATTACACTCTGCAAGTGAGTTTGGCTGGTGCTGATTTGGGGTTTGGAATGGGATTAGAAACTCCCCCCAACACAGCTTTGGAAAGCATGTGATTATTATTTTTTTTTTTTTAATAACCAAATTTAATTATTTTTAATCACTGAAACTGTAAATTTTAGTTGTCTAAAATGTCAGTTATTGCCACTGAAACTGTGACTTGATTCTTGTGAATTTCATAGTAGTCTTTAGGGTTGTGTATTCAGCTGGTCACATACATGGGTGTTGAAAGCAGAATGTGTTCAAGAGAGTTTCCAGAGTAGTATGTTAAGATCATCAACGTTGAAGTGCGAGCAGAATGTGTTTTGTTTGTATTGAGTATATTGTAGTACTTTTCAGTTGAAATCTTAGAAAAGAAGAAAAAATACAGGAAACTGAAAGGCTTGTAGAAAAATCTTTGAAAAATATATAAATAACAGTAGGAGTAACTAGTTCTGTCTACTTGTGGTAGCCCATGGAATGGCACTTAGGCCTTGTGTACCTTCATACTAGAAGAATTAACTTAATATAGAGTAAACAGAAGGGATTTGTATGGGTTAACAGAGATTTGAAATTTCCTTACAGTTAGTGCTGCAAGCCAAAACCTAAAAATAATTTAGACACTGAAGGTGCTTATTAAGTAGAGATTTTGTCAATGCCAATTATTTTATTGTATAGAAAGTACAATAATAGTAATAATTGCATTTCAGTAGAAAGGAAAAAAGTTGGAAAATTAACCTCTGCAACTCTCACGTCAAACTGTTTTTCATTAATCTAAGTTTTACTGCTGAGGGGTTTAACGTGGTCTTCTTTGTGCTCCTCAACAGTTTGAAGCGGCATGGGCTTTGACAAACATAGCATCTGGAACTTTTCTACACACCAAAGTTGTAATTGAAACTGGAGCTGTTCCAATTTTTATTAAGTTGCTTAGTTCAGAACATGAAGATGTACAGGAGCAGGTAACTGTTTTCTTAGGGTATTTTATAACTACTAAAAATTCATTTATGAATGTCTTTTTTGGGTTGTGTGTGGTTAGAGAGGTCTTGAGCCCCATTTGCCTACTAGCCCATTGATCTGCCTCCAGGAAGATAAGGATTTACCTTCAGTGTATTTTTTCCCTCATGTTTTTTTCCTCTGATTCTTTCATGTTTCTTTGAACCTGTTTTTTATTTCACGTCACTGAGTAATTGGAAGAAAGCACCTGATTTCTATTGTGGAATTTACAGGTGGACAGGATCTAAAACACCATAATAGAAAGAATATAGTAGAAAACAATGTGGATTTTTTTTCCTAAGTTATCTTGCAGCTTTATTTCTTATATACTTCTGCTCTTCTATCTTATTATGTTACAGTCTTCATTAATATTTTCCTGAACTTCGGTTTTGTGGGTTTGGTTTTTTTGTTGTTGTTATTTTGGTTTGGTGGGGGTTTTTTGTTTTGTTTAAGAGAGTCTGTAATTTACTGGCTTTTATTTAGCATGTTTGAAAGTTTGTATAGTGAAAGTTCATGATTTAACTTTTTTATTCCTCATACATTGTTTGCAACTTTGAGCCAGTTTTATTGAATCTATTACACATAGTGAGCAAATGTAACTATTGAAAAGAGTGTGTGTATCCTTTTTATTGAAAAGCACATGAATCAACATATTTTCATAACAGAAGACTTTCCTTGAAAGAATGACTTCAAGTGTAGGTAATTGACTTTGTGTGAGTTCACAAAAAACGGAATATAGAAACCGGTAGTCTTCTGAAATTTTATATTTGGAATGATACTGCTTTTTTGCTTCTATAATATTTGCTGTAAAAAAATACATAGATGATCTGTGAAAGTTGATTTGCAAGCATGTATAAATTCACTTGGATGCTTTGCTTTTTAAGGCAGTGTGGGCTCTTGGTAACATTGCTGGTGATAATGCAGAATGCAGAGACTTTGTTTTAAACTGTGGAATATTACCACCTCTCTTGGAGTAAGTATTGTAGATTAATACTATTACTGTAGTGTACAGGTATAGATAACTGTAAACTTCAACTTAAAATTTATTTGAAAAGAATGTAAGCTTTTTGCTAAATTGAGAATGTTTCTTTTTTATTATACTGCTATGACCCTAATGTTTTGGATTGCCTGAGCTTCATGCATATTTTTAATTAGTCCATCACTGGAAGCTTTCCAGTCTTTGCAAAAGGAGAGAAGTATAATTTCACAGGTATGAAATTTCTGTGTTGTGCAGAACTCTGTGCTGCCAGAGTTCTGGGTATATAGGGTGGGAGAGATGATTTAATTCACACTTGCATTTCTGTGACTACAATTGGCTGGGCAATAGGCTAGTTTCACCACCTTTGTTGAGTAGCTCCGAGCTCCGGTCTTGCTATCTGTCCATTTGCTTGTTGAGATGAGCTGGCAGAGTAGTTGTTACGTGACCTGTGTTCCACCAGAAGATTTCTCTTCACTAGGAATATCATTTCAGCATTTACTGTATGCTTACAATAGGATGTAAGGTAGCTTCATCACAGGGAAAAAATGTATACGACACAAATGTTGTTCAATTTATTACTGCTTAAAATAATAAAATGCTTTGAAACATTTGTAAAATAGCTTAAAATAATAGAGGAGAATGTGATTACCTTCCTCGAAGATTTAAAGATTAACAGTTTTAGACATTTTGGTATGTATCTGAAAGTGAACCTGACTTTTCAGGTGTTGAATCTTTCGCATTCTATTCAGCAAAAACAGTAAAGTGTTAATTTTTTTAGAAGATCTGTTAAGTTCTAACTTTTTATGGAACTATTTTTATTATTATTAATTGCATTCTGTGAATGAAAAAATCAAAGTTAATTCAAGGGAGGGTTGCATCTGCTAGCCCCAGAAAAGATTAGTTGAATGATTTTTCATATGAGCAGTGGTTTACTTTATATGCATATACTTGATTTGGGAATGAGATGTCCATGCAAAATAATCTACAGATTCAGTTGATTGTAAGAAAATATTTGCAGCATGTAAGCTATGAAGAGAAAGAAATTGAAACTAGTGCCCAATAATAGGATTTCTTTTCCTGATTTGAGGTACTGTTGTTAATAATAGACATAAAAAGACTTAACTTTTCAATAAGAAACGATTTTTATTATTGTTGTTGTCTCTCTTTGACAGACTGTTAACAAATTCAAATCGTCTTACAACAACTAGAAATGCGGTCTGGGCTCTCTCAAATCTCTGTAGAGGAAAGAACCCTCCTCCAGACTTCAGTAAGGTATAATAAAGTATTCATTTTGAGAAGTCAGAAAGCTGAAGAAGACTTACGTTTGTAATATGTTATAACACGCAGAATCTTTGAATCTGGAGATAGACTCAGTTTTATCTTTTTAATGTAATCACACAGTCTTGTCCATCTGTTGTATCTACAAAAAATCCTCTACTTTGACGCCTATCCCCAATAAAATTAAATTACTTAAAAACTTGAGATTGTAGTTAGTCAGATGCAAATAGTCATTCACTGGTATGAAATGATGGACAAATAATACATTCAGCACTAAACCCCTTGGGGCTGTATTTTCTCCAGATCTGTTTTAGAGGATGTGAGATACGATTGACGTTTTTTAAAATTTTTTTTTTTATTTTTTTATTTTATGATTGTGAGTGCATACTGCAGGAATAAAATTTTGAGTTTTCTGCTCTGTCAGATGCAGTTAAATCAGACTATGATGACAGAGGTGATTTGCCTGTATGCTCTCCCCATCGCTTCCTCCTCTCTCCAGTATGTGGTTATAAAGACAGTAAGGCTGTAGAGGCTAGTAGGAGTATTAGCTCCTTATTTTCAGTATGAAATTAATTTCTGGTAAGGTTAATGACATTAAAAGATTAGAAGAATGGAACATTGGATCTTCTGGTAGAAGAGACTGAGGTTAAATGATCATTAAAGATAACCTGGAGAGAATTTACATGTCTTGAAGCTTACCTCATGAGGTAGTAATTACTGTCAATTGCTACTTAATAATTCTTGGAGAGATACTAACAAAAAGGGGGGATTTCTGACGTTAATTGACGACCTCACAATTGCTCTGCCCAAGTTATATCCTTCAGTAGTGTTTTGTTCTGGTAGTAAAAAGGCAGGAAGATTTCTTGCTGCTTAAACACAACTTCAGTGGAAAAGGATGCACTGTAGGCAGCTGCTAATAGGAATAGCTCTTTTGCTTTTTGCCCTTTGCAGTAGCACCAGTTGGACACATAAAGGAGGCTTAATTGCGTAACTGATGTAAGATAAAGAATTAAGTTCTACAAAGAATATGAGATTCCCAAGCTGTACAGCTGAAACCTGTCAGGTTCCAAGTGGTGTTAAGATGGTCTAGTTCATTTGGCTCTGTCTGTGTGGAACTTGTAGGAGATCAAGGCCGGAGACTACAGTTGCAGTGGGAACTGAAGTCAGCCATTGCTCGTTTGGTTCAGTGAATGTTGAGTCCTCTGTGAATTACTCTGAGTTTCTTTGTGGTAAAGCAATTGTAAATTGGTTATTACAAACAACCTCCAGTACTCCTACAAAGACAGCAATGTCAAAAAATGTTACTGCTTTGAAATTCTGTTCCCTGAGTGATTCAAAAAAGCATCAGTAATTCCTGGTTACCTGTAAAAGCAGATGTTTTTTGTTTAAGCTGAACAATTATATACCTAATATAGTATCTCTAATTAAATAGGCTGTGAATCAGAATTTATCAAATTTGCCAGTTTGAATTGGATATCTAGTTTAATCAGGAAGTATTCCACCTAGGTCCTGACTCATTAAGGAGCTCGTGTGCTTTGGCAGTAAATAGTTTTGCACCTTAATGCCTTTGCAGAATGTCTCTGAAACTTGAAAAATATGAAACACCTAATTTTATGTAATATTTTTCTTTAACCTAGGTTGCTCCTTGCTTAAATGTTTTATCAAGACTGTTGTTTAGCAGTGACCCGGATGTATTAGCAGATGCTTGCTGGGCCCTCTCTTACCTTTCAGATGGTCCCAATGATAAAATTCAAGCTGTTATTGATTCTGGAGTGTGTCGAAGATTGGTAGAGTTGCTTATGTAAGTCTTCTCTTCACCAAGTAAATGTCTTGCAGTACTGTTAATATTAATGAATTCAAATTGAGTTGTTTTTTCTCACCTCAAGTCTGAATTTATTTTGTGAGAAGTGACGAACATGAATTCAATCTGAAACCTTAAGTTGCTTGCTAGGTTGCTTGGCTCCTGGGATTTTTCCTGAGATCGACAGTGAAAAAAAGTTTTCTCGGAAGTATTCCTTTATATTCTTTAAAATTTCATGCAGGATTTGATTTACATGGAGGAATAGAAAGGTGAAGACTGAAGACCAAGCTTGAATTGTAAATTAATTTCTCAGCTTATGTTTTTTTAATTTCACTCTTATATTTTGTTTTCTTACCTTTATAGGAGATGTAGGTTCAATACAGACAGTTCTTGGACTCACGAAGTCCAGAGGCAGGCTTGTGCCACTTCTGAACTGTTCCAGTATATTTGGTTTATGGTTCATTATTTTCCTAGAAAGGGAGACTAAATCCCTGTGTTCACGTGGGGACTGCAGAGTAGGTCAGGGTTAGTAGTTCCCAGCACTGACAGCTCAGCACAGTTCCCTGTGAAAAGCTCATTTGTATAGCTGTCGGGAGAGGGTGAGGTTGCTTTCTCTTCTGTAGAAGCTTTAGGACAACTGAGTAGATTTCCTTCCCCTACACCTCAGACAGTTGAATATGGGCTTCATGTACTGGCTTTTAGGGTTATTGACTTACAAAAGGGGGAAGTTCCCTTACAAAGGAGGGCTGTTAAGTTTTAGTATACAGCTAATAACAACACCCCTTTTGTTTCTGTGGTTATTGAATGATGCAGGTTCCAGCGTTGTATTCAATAATACTTGAGCTGGGTGAAATGAATCTGCTGGACAGATAGATTGCTCTAAGTTGTGTTGTTCCATAGAGGTGCCCTTTCCTTGAATCAGCAATTCAGTTGTGGGCTTGCAGTTGTCAAATTTGGCTAAATAGGGGGAAAGTGTAAGAAGTAATGCAATGTTTTCTATAGCTAAAAATTTAGCACCTGAAGTAAACCACTGTTCACTGAAAATGCAAAATTATACTTTAACACTTGGTAATATCAAGCAATTTAATATTTGTCTCCAGGCATAATGACTACAAGGTGGTATCCCCTGCATTAAGAGCAGTTGGAAATATTGTTACTGGGGATGATATCCAAACACAGGTAAGACTAGTTGATTTAAGAAAAATGAATTGGCAGGACAGAATTTTGCAAAAATTGTGACAAAATACATGTCTAGTACAAGTATCTGCGTATGTCAGTGAAAGAGGCTTTGTACAAATCTATATTGTTAATTTCACAGTTTAGGCTGCTATTTTAAACATTAGATTACTGCAAGAATGAACATGTTCTTAGAGCACTGTATGTAGTGGATTGCTTCATTCCTGTACGGTACTTTTGGCTGTTGCTTCCCATTCACAATGAAAGTAACTCCCCCCCCTTTTATTCTCCTTAGTGGGGGTTCAGTTATTTATTATTGTTCCCTTTTTTAAGTCTTCAAATGCAGTCACTTGTAAGCAACAGTCATACTTGATTTGTCCTGAACTAGTGTAAAGGGAAAATAAGGAAATAAGTTATTACATAATTTGTTGTGAGCTCTATAGGAGAGGATTTTGCTAAGGTATTAAACAGAAAACATCTGTCTCAAAAAACAAATGAACAAATAACTATACGAATTAGATTTACACTTCTCAGTTATTCATATTCTAGCCTTAAGCAGCCTTATTTAGTCTTGCTGTTGTCAGTCTTCTGGTCTGAACTTAACTGAGGGCAGATTCTTTCAAATTGCTGGATCATCTATTCACCCACTACAGCATTGAACACTTTAATTTTGCAGGATGTTATCTATGATACTTTGTATAATATAAATGTGTTGCAAAATGTTCTTTTGAAGTCATCTGTAGAGTGCTTTTATGTATATGTATGTTTACTGCACAAGCCAATATATATGCCAATATGTATATTGTACAACCCAGTTTTCAATTCTCAAATTATTTTAGGTGATTCTAAACTGCTCTGCATTACCCTGTCTCTTGCACTTGCTCAGTAGTCCCAAGGAATCTATTAGAAAAGAAGCGTGCTGGACTGTTTCTAATATTACTGCAGGAAACAGAGCTCAGATTCAGGTAAAGCCTGTGTATTTGTTACTTGGTTGGTTTTGTTTTCATTTTGCTAGTTCACTTGATTTTCCTTCACAAGGAGAAATAAGTAGATACAACATTGACTCTTCATTATTTGTTTTGTCCTAACTGCTAACTGTCTATAATTTTACCTAACTTAAATGTTTTCTTCTAAATTTTGAAAGATTATCATAAATAACTTCATAAAATGATAGTTTAAAAATAGCTGTCATGATTTGTACTAGAGAAACTGATTAATTTCTCTCAAAGGGATTTGGCTGATGCTTATAAAACAAATGAAAAGATACTTAAAATATTCTCTTAGATCTGATATCAACAGTTATTTTTCCCTGTGGGAGGATCATCTACTGGTATATTCTCTTTAATTTTGTTATGCATTGTAATATACTTGTTAAAGTATTTAAAGCTGTTTTTCTTTTTTAAAAGTTGAAACAAAACATCTTGCACAAACTAGTCCAGTGAAAAGTGCCAATTTATCAATTCTACCTATCTGGAAATGTTGAACGTTTTGCTTGGATAAAAGACCTGCATGATGTCATCAATACTGAGTTGTATTCTTGTGGAAACTACTAAATCCCGACTATTGCTCCAGGTGTCTGGAGTTACCTGAAAAAAGGTTCTGTTTGACAAAAATGAGAATTCTGAATCAGAGTACATGTTTCAATATGATTTTTTTTTTTCCCCTCTGCTTCAGTCAGGGATGAAAATGTTGCTTCTTAATGTAATTTAAAATCTATAATACAGTCTCCAATTACAGACATAGTCTTTCTGTGGAGACCGCAAACCTGAATAAAATGGACAAAGTGAAGTTTTGTTCTGAGGCTTGATCTCCAGTTCAAAAATTCAGGTTTAGTGCTTATGTCATATGATTTTTAAATGGGCCTATCCAGTAAGCAGTATTCTGTCCACCAGAGACGGAGAAATCAACGAAGAAGATATTCTCATGGCTGCTGTAGTATAATGTTGGAATAGTTTCGAACTTCAGTTTAGCGTTTCTAGTTAGTGTGGTGCCTTCTAACAAAACATTGTTTGCTTTGATATCAGCAGGTATCACTGGCTTTTGTAGTGAAGGGTATTAATGTTCTTTGTATACTAAATCTTTATTAATTATTATAAGATATTATAATTTCATCTCTTAGGCTGTTATAGATGCAAATATTTTTCCAATATTGATCGAAATTCTTCAAAAAGCTGAATTTCGCACCAGAAAAGAAGCAGCATGGGCCATAACTAATGCAACATCAGGAGGAACCCCTGAACAGATTAGGTAAGTTTGTGTATGTTACTATTTTCTATGCCTAAGTATCTTTTCTAAGGCATTTCTATTTCTGCAATTGAATCCTGACAAACATAGGAGCAAAATCCTAAACCTTAATTCCTTGTAACTGTGTCGACACAGGGACTAAACACGTAGAAGCTCAGAAAAATGAGTGAAATATATGCAGTGGACTTAATAACAAATTGACCGATACTGCTTTGTTTCAGTGATACTACACCTAAAGCTTTCACAGGGTTCTCTTCCAGAGTTGATATTACATTGTCAGACGCAATTGGAATAGTTAATGAAGAGTTTCAGTGTTTGAAAATGGAAAAATTTGTGAGAGTTCTTTAGAAAACTTGTGCAGCGGGATTGTATCTCTTTGTGAAGAGACATCAGGAATTTTAGTGGGTTTTTCATGTATTTTAAACTTGCTATCAGTATTATTTTAAAGCAGATATCTAAACTCCTTTTTCAGAATTGAGTTTGATTAAAATTTTACTGTCAGCAGCTATTTATGCGCTGCAAAGATTGGACTTCTTGAATGACTAGAATAAAATATTCTCTGGTTTCTCTGAATACTATCAGCATAGCGATCAGTTTGAGTCAGTAGTTGATAAATAGATTTAAAAATGACAGTGTACTATTTGGAAGCCAGAACTGACAGTGATGTGATAACTCTTCCAGCACGTTTGGGAGATCTGTTGCAATAAGTGCATGCTGATTTATTTAAAATGTAAACAATCCTGGTTTTCTTATAACCACTAAGTGTTCTCAGAGGTAAGGAAAGTTTTTTGGTGTGTTTTTGCTATTATTTTGATTGCTTGCATAACGTCACATCTTAAAATTTAGCATATTTTAAGTAAATTTTAATTCAGGATCTTCAAATAGTAAATATGCATGTAATACCATAAAAGTAGCTTCTTGTCACAAAATACAGGTATTATCCATGTCATGAAATTTTAGCTCTTTTAACGTTCTCAAGGTACTACTGTCTGACTGCAGGATAATTTAAAACCACTAAATAAACTATATTTAAGCAACCTTTTGATGCCGGCAAACATTAGTGTCTTCATTTTACTTGCACACTAGAAACAAGGACACAGGTTCTGACTTCCAAAGTTCCTACACAATTTTGTGCAAAATTGGAAAAAGCAATAGGATACTCAGAATCCCAATATCTTTTTTTGTATTTACAGTTATGTCCTTCCTTTTACAGTAGGTAATGCTAATATCTTAATGGGCTGCTAGTGTGGACTACGTTAGTACAGAGCAGCGTCCAATGTTACTATCTGTCTCTAACGTGTTTATTTGATGTTTTTGCCACTACAAAATTTCAAATGCCTGAGAAAATAACTTACTGGTGAAATGAACTTTTTCCCTTCTATTCAGTTAAACCCACCTGAAGATCATAAGCGAAAAGGAGTTGAAAAGCCTACAAATTCCAAACTCTAGTTAGGAATATGCACATTAAATTTTCTCATTAGGATGAATTAGAATATTTATTCAATTTCAAACTGAGATTATCTTTGTGTTGTGTTTTAGAAGTCTTTTGTTTCAGCCACTTCTAGCAAAATTAAGGACCGATAGCGATAGCCAGGCATGTCAGAATAAATGTGCTGGATTATCAGTCCTCCTTTTTCCCCCCATCCCCCTCTGTTTTTCTGCTGTTATAAAGGTATTTGGTAGCACTAGGTTGTACCAAGCCTCTGTGTGACCTCCTGACTGTGATGGATTCAAAAATAGTACAGGTGGCTTTAAATGGACTTGAAAACATTCTGCGTCTTGGAGAACAAGAGTCTAAGCAAAATGGAATGGGCATTAATCCTTATTGTGCCCTTATAGAGGAAGCATATGGTAAGAAATGACTTCTTGTAAAACTACGTACCTGAATTTCCTTATTTCTGGCTGTAAAAACAAAACCTTTGTGAACCATTTGTAGGTAAGTTTAATATTAGACTTTTTACTTCAAGCATAAGTGAACATGAAAGCATCATAAATTAAGTTATGTAACATGATGGGAAAAGCGGTTAAATGCAGAAAAACCGTGGATGTTTGTCCACTCAGTTTATGAAATGTGCCTCTCGGGAAACATTCTCAGAAATATTTAACACACAGGTGTCCTAGTCTATTGGAGCCATGGTTTGCGTAAGTTTATCAGCCAATCCTAAATATAGTTTTATTACTTTAATATATAGTCCTGTCTGGTACAGTTTCATTACCAACAGGGATGCGAGATCAGAGTTTGTTTTACTTATTCCCACAGTCGGATCACTTTTTAGCATAGTAAATATCAGTAATAGCAAAATCAACTTCAGATCACAAAAATAAGTTTGTACTTAATTTGTGAAAGTATTTTGTTCTTTTTCTTCTTTAAGAGTTGTTGAATTAAACCACGCTTCAAAGGCAGAGTATCAAAACTAAAATGACACTTGTGGAATTTCATGACTAGATGCTTTTGATTTAACAAAATTAATGTTAAACCTGGCTTACAATGAATCTGGCATTATTTATGGAGGGTTATCTTTTTGTAGCTCTGACAAAACAAAATTGGCAGACATTTGTGTTTCAGAAACTGCTAATAACAGTCCTAGTTGACCACATTATATCTGATTAGATGGTACTAACTTTTCTGTAAAGCAGCCTTTTAAATCTGAATTGCCTGTTACAGAGTTTCATTTCTAAAATCAAGTGCATACTTGGAGAACTTACTTTGCAATCTAACATGTAAGAGGAATAAGTACTGAATACTTTAATGGAATTTATTCTGTTCCAGATTTTGAGTCCATTTATAATTTCAACTATTGAATGTGTCTAGGTTCTCTTTTTTTTTTCCTTTACCGGTTAAGCATGGGCTGCTGAAGCTGTAGAGTATAAGTTCAAGTAGGGGAAGCAGCTAATTACATCACCCTCGTTGCTTTGGCCTCTGTAGTCACCAGAAGGGTTCGTGCGAGCTTTTCCTAATCCAGCTTAAGTGAAAAATGAATTATCTTAAAAAGCTAAAAAGAGTTTTGAATAAACTTAACTGACCGCCAAGCACTCTGCCAGCAGAGGAGAGGTTATGTCCTCTAGCTGGCAAATGATAAGCCTTTGGAAAGATAGTCTCTTCAAATCTTAAAATTAAATTTGAAAAAAGATACCAGACTGTGCCCAGTGACGACTCCGTAATAGGGGATAGAATTTAGAGTTGGGGAAGACTGAAAGAGTAAAAGAAAAGAAATGGGGATATTGGAAATTGCTACAGCAAACAGTTTTATGCTATCCTAATTCTACACAGATTCACTTTCTTTGTAGGCATGGCATATTTCTTTGTAGGTACTACAGCCTCCTCCTCCTCTTCAGTTTAATTGATACTCTTCTAGCATTGTTTTAAAATTGCTTGGACAGCTGAAAATGCTGCAGAAAATGAAGACTAGAAATACATGGGGTTAGGAAATTAAGAATCGATGATATCGAATGAATTGAGATGATTTGGGATTGCATTTTTTTAATCTAAGAAGTACCACTATACTATAAGCTGTATTATAAGCTGTTTCCTTTTGAATTCATCATTAATTTAAGCAACTAGATTTTGAAAATGTTTTGTTTTGAATTTAGGACTTGATAAAATTGAGTTTCTTCAGAGGCATGAAAACCAAGAGATATACCAAAAGGCTTTTGAACTCATAGAACATTACTTTGGTGTCGAAGAAGAGGACTCCAGTATTGCACCTCAGGTGGATGAAAGTCAGCAGCAGTTTGTGTTTCAACAGCAGGAGGCTCCAATGGAGGGGTTTCAGCTGTAAACTATTGAAGCGAAGACAAGCATAAAATGTAAACACTTGTAGGGTTTTGGTTTTTTTTCCCCCAGAGGTCTTTCCTTTACGGCCAAAGTTAGAGGAAAAGTTGAATATGTTTTGCAGAAATAGATGAAGCAGCTCATGCACTTTTATATATTGTGATAGATACAACTGTTCTTTGTTTTGTATTTGTGTTTTTCATTATCTCTTGTGTACAGAAAACAACTGTGAGTAATCATGTCTAAAGTAAAGCATTAAATGTGATTTAACAAGAACTGTTAAGCTAAGACTTGGTAGGATTTTTAGGTAGTGGTTCTGAATTTTTCATGTAGTCTCAAACTGCATATCAGCAATACAGTTACTGACAGTTGCATTTTTGGCAGTAGGCTTGACTTGCCCAGTCTCTATCAATCTACCTCTTGTATTGAAGCAAAAACATTGCTTCGGAACTAAAGGCATGAAATAAAGACAAGCTTGTAAGAAGCTGAATTGGAATGTGAAAAATATTTATTTAAATTGTGAAACTTTTATGCATTACTTACTTTACAACACACTGTTGGAATTTATTTATAAAATGTATTTAATAGATATATAATGCTAATTACCTAATATAATATTGAATATATGAAAAAGCTTTTTCTGAATTATGTGGGAAGAGGACTGTTTCAGAGGTTTTCAAATTGGAATCAGCAGAGAGCTTGCTGGTCATTTGATGTTGGCTCTGTAATGAAAGCTGCTAAATGGCGTTAAAAGTCAGCCACAAATACAGTACTTTGCAGTGGAAGCAGTTGCTGTAGTTACCAGAAGAATGCTGCGATTATGAATGACAGAGATGGTGATTTGCAGAAGTCGCCAAGCAGATGGTTTACAGCTGTCTCCTGTCAAAATGTGGTAACACCACTTCAGTTTGAGAAACATTGCAATGTTTGCCTTTCTAGTACAGTAGCTTCTTAAAAGTTTAGACAGTAGATGTTATTTTTTTGACCAAATACGCTGCCGCCACTTGAATTGTTCTTTAAGTTAACTGACTTTGGTTTTCTTTTGGTAAGACGATAGAAATACTGCAGTGAAGAATGAATAGTAAATCGCTCCTTTCCAGTTGAAGGAAAAGTTTGTTGTACTGTAAATAGCATTAAGTATGTGGACACCAAAACTAACTAGAAGTTACTGTCATCTAAATATTTAGGCTCTACAATATACAGTGTTTGCTGTTAAACACTAAAAGAAATAGAACTCTAATATTTGCATTAACAATTTTGAATACAGAAAAATGTATACTCTGCTTCGACTTGCATATAAGTAGTGTTTCTGGTGTATTAGTAGTATATCTCATTTGGAGAAATTAATACTTTGGGTTAACTCTGAAGTATTCATCTAAATATTTAGGCTCTACAATATACAGTGTTTGCTGTTAAACACTAAAAGAAATAGAACTCTAATATTTGCATTAACAATTTTGAATACAGAAAAATGTATACTCTGCTTCGACTTGCATATAAGTAGTGTTTCTGGTGTATTAGTAGTATATCTCATTTGGAGAAATTAATACTTTGGGTTAACTCTGAAGTATTATTTTTTATTACCTGTAATTATTGTATTAACATCAAACTCCTGGGTTAAGTGAAATCCTTGACGTATGAGAGATTTCATGCTTGTGGACACCAAAACTAACTAGAAGTTACTGTCATCTAAATATTTAGGCTCTACAATATACAGTGTTTGCTGTTAAACACTAAAAGAAATAGAACTCTAATATTTGCATTAACAATTTTGAATACAGAAAAATGTATACTCTGCTTCGACTTGCATATAAGTAGTGTTTCTGGTGTATTAGTAGTATATCTCATTTGGAGAAATTAATACTTTGGGTTAACTCTGAAGTATTATTTTTTATTACCTGTAATTAATGTGTTAGCATCAAACTCCTGGGTTAAGTGAAATCCTTGACGTATGAGAGCATTTCATGCTTCATAAAAAGCTGCAATTTAAACTTCAAATTACTTGCCCCACGGCACTGTGCTTGTCACTAAACAATATTTTAATGCACTGAAAAATACAGGTTAAAGGTGGTATCATTTACAGTACCGTTTTATATTTAGAATTTTTTTTACATGCAAGTTAAGATTCTAAGATGTTTCACTTTGATGTTACAGCAATATATACTGTATTGTAATTGAATGTGGGACTTGAAGTGGATTTTCTAAGATTAACGGTCAGTTTTGACTAAGATGTAACTGGGAGGGAAGAAACCTCTTTTTGAAGTCTTTTTAGTGGAAGATAGAAGTGTAAGAAGTGTATATAGGAGTGCTGTTACTTTATGAACTCTGAATAATGAGATATTTTAGCAAATGACACTTTAAACCTAGATTTGTACAGCATACAACAGTTTTGAATAGCGTGGTAATACTGAGTACAGCTGCCAAATTTTCATATAATGTTAGATGATTGTATTTGTGCCCTTTTTACTCTCATGGTTTCAGGTTTTCATATACTGACCTTCCTCCCCCCCCCGCCCCATCTGTTCAAAGTACAGGGTAACAATCAAGGAAATCTAGGAAATGCTGAATTTCAGTGTTCTTCTAGTGTAAGAAAATTATTCAGGTAACAGGGTATTCCATTGTTTCTAACAACCTTGTTTTGATAACATAACCAGCTGTGCCTGCTTTTTATTTGGAAAACCCTGGAAAAACTGCATTTATAAGCCTCTCTAATTTAAACCAAATCTGAACTATAAAAATACTGATTAAAAGACTTGAAAATGAAGAAAAGAGGGGACATTTAAAGTATTATATTTGTTTTGAAAGAATGTCTTCAGTTTTGTGGATATATTATTCTGTATGTGTGCACTTTACGCATTTAGATAAACTATATTTCATGCCTCATACGTTTAAATGTAACGGTTTAAAAGGGAACTAAAATTGACGGACTTTGACTAATGAAAATCATTACTTAAACTCAACATTTGGTTTACCCTAAAATTGTTAAAAAATCATAATGAAAATTCTTCTTTAAAGGATAAATGTACAAGATGGCCTCTCCTATTTTATCGCTGGGTTTACATCACACTTTGTTAAAAGCACATAAACGAACAATGTAAAACCGGAGATGATGACTTAAGGTCCGCTCTGGTGGAGTCATTTGCAGGTAGGGGCGTGAATATGATGATGTTCCCTAAACAGATGAAACAAGTGTGGAGGAAAAACAAAAAAACAACTGAGAGAAGAAAATCTCTTTAAGTTTGGTATTTTATATGGAATCTGAAGTGCCCCATCAGTTACAAAGTCTGTTTAAAAAAACAGGGGTTTGGTTTTTGTCGTTTTGGTTTCAATTAAAAGGGTACCATTTGTTCTGCTTAAATGTGAATACTAACTAGCTAATCTATGCAACTATGCAAAGCATAAGATTTTTTTTTTTTTTAGTTCCCTACTCTTGATACACTGAATCGTATCTAATTTTTTCATCGTTGCACTTTTGTCTGAGGACTGGTTCATACAGCTTTTTAATTTTCTAGTACTTGCTTTAAACACTGTTGCTAGCAGCAATCAGAAAATAGTAATAATGTTGGCACAGAAATAAGTTAGCTGTAGAACAAGTTTGCAACTGGAAAATATTTACTGTCGGGTCTGTCTTTAAAAAAAAAAAAAAAAATAAGATGCACTATTGTCTTTCCTCCACGGTTAGTTCTCAGTTGGTTTAAATTTATTAAATTGTGCAACTGAGGATTTTTGTAGTAGGTCTGCCGATTGATCCATAAAGTTTAACTGTGACCTCAAGAGTTCACTGAAATCTGGAATGAGAAATTTCAGTTACTTATGGCACAATATCTCCGTATAATGTGTGGAAACTAAACACCTATACTAACTTCAGATAGTAATAGTGCATCTTTAAATCCAGGCCAAAGGCCCATTACTGTAACAGAACACATATGAGTAGTATGCAATATTATGGAATGTTAAATCTCCAAATACCATACAGAAACCAATAAAACCTATTTTACAGACGTTTATTGTATTTATTTAGTGTTTCGGTAAGTGTGGCTTCTTAAACTAGAGAACACAAATGCCATTTTGAATACAGCATTGAGGCAAACGAATTCAAACTGGGTGACGGGTGCACTGTAAGACTAGGCGCTGTCACCAGAAAACTTGTTTTGTAAACATCTCACCAAACATACACGTGGACGGTAATCACAGTCCCGTCTCTGCCTGCAGAACCGACCGCTTCTTTGGGAATTCCCATGAAGTTTGTAAGGACGGGAGAACTGGTGGAATTACCGGGCCACTTCCCCTCCCCTCGCTTCTCCAAACCTTCTCTTCTCAGTGTGCAAGACTTGTAATATTCTGGCTGATTACAGTTTGTTCTTTATTTAGAATTGCAAAAGTGAATTGCATAAGCCTCCTTATTTTTGCAGTTTTCGTACCTTCACTTCACTACTGCTTGGTCTTTGCTGCATTCAACCTTTTGTTGAAAAACACGGCTAGTTTTTCTGTATGGAACTCTTACCTGTGTAACGGCTCAAGATAAGCCTGAGAGAGTTTTCAAGACAGATTGTGGAAACTTGGCTCCCCCCATACCTGACGTTCTTAGGAAACTACCTCATCTCCTTTGAAATTAATTACTGCTTTTAATCATGTGCAAAACATTCTAATTTTAATAATTTGCAACAAGTGCATCGAGTAGCTCTCTAATAAGAGAGACCCTCCATTTCCTTTTTGTGATCCTGTAGCTACCCTTGTTGGCTCCAGCGTGTGCAATACTACAGTTTTCCGTTTATTGGTGAAATTCGCTAATCGCTCAGCAACAGTTAACTTTGCTCCTACAAGGACTTTTGGCATTTCATACTAGGTTACTTTGTCTTCGACTCCGCTGCTAGCGCGGCCTCTTTCCGCCACTTGGCCTTCTTTGCCAGGTTCCAGCTGGTTAAGGACTCGTGACGTGCAGCAGCCTGTGGAAGTAAAACGCCTACTTCAGAGGAGTGTAGTAGGAGTCACGACGCACCTCGGGGAAAGCTTCCCAATCTCGGGAGCAGCCAGCAACTGCTTACACGTCAGGGGTGACCGGAACGTAGGTTAGCTAAAACTAGGGTAGGTGTAAGCTGCAGCTGTTCGTTGGTCTGCTTTTCACAGAACTCCATCATTTTTAAGTATGCTACGTGATAACTAGCTAGCGCTGCACTCACCTTTTTAGCTGAGGCAATCACTGCAAAACAGGCAACAATTGAGAGTCCAATCATGATGTAACAAGCTTTAACTCGAGCTTTGTTTCTTGCCCTGTCTAGCATCTCTGGCCTGCAATTAAAGTTATTGAATTGAATCATTACAAAACTGTGAAGTCTCTCTTCTTCAAAGCATTGCAGACATAACATCACCACTGAAAAATAAAAATAGTGTTCGCTTCTGAAACAAGCATCTTCGGCTTGCTATGTCTGGTTATGTACCACCCAAGAACCGTGCATTTTCTGACCCTAATCCATTTCCAGTGGAAAAGCAACATTTAATGGATTTAAATGGATTTTTTTTTTTTTAAGCTGGAAAAAAAAATGGTCATGCCATAAATATTTGCGTTTAAGTACTTGGGGTAAATAAACCAGAAATCATACCTTAAGCTCTATTTAAACAGTGAAAATTAAGGGGTTTATCTATTTTAAACAGATGGAGAAGTATCTGCGGTGTCAACCAGGTGTGGTGAAGACAAGTTCCTTTTATTCAAAATTAACTTTAGCAATTAATTGCTGTCATATCTAACCTGTTTAGATGGCGTCCTGTATACTGTAGGCTAGGGACTTTACACACTTGGGTAGGTGATTACAACTGAGTTTGTACTGCTGCGAGTTAAGAGTTTAGTTCTTTAGAAAAGCAGCGGCTTTATTTAAAGTGGGCAGGTGATGTCAGTCCTCTCACCGTTACAGGAACGGACACCTAAACAAGAACAATCTACATGATAATTTTTGCTGGTGATCAAAGGCAGAAGGAATGAAAACTTCTGCCCTGCGTTTGGCGGTAGTTGCTGCAGGAGAGGCATTGTACGGCCCAGCAAGCTGTGCTGGTACAGCTCCCGTTTCCACCCTCCTGCGTTGTCAGCAGGCTGCATACCCCTGAGAACCAGCGGCACAGGAAATCTCCGTATCACTAAAATTGCCTCAAAACTTTCAGCCAAGTCTTATTCTGAGACATTACACTTGGGAGTACGGATTTTAAGATGTTCATTATAATACTGGCTGTGCACTATTTTCCTTTCATAAATCACATGGGAATACTTTATATAAAGATATTTATAAGACAGAATATAAAAAGCGCATAATATATAGTTATGGTTTTATACATATATATGTAAAAAGGATAGTTGCATAAAGAATTGATTTTATGTTGTGAGTAAAGATCTTGTAACGATCTCTTTCCCCCCAAGCACCTCTGGCTTTACTTTAAAGAGGATGAGTGGTGGGACATGGCAGAGCCAGAGTTTTTATAGTGGAAGTTCTGCCCATGGAAGCGCGTGCCGAGGCTGAGGGCTGCCGTGCTTCCCTCAAAGGCTTTAATGCCACAGAAGAGGGCAAGTCTGACGAGCGGCTGTGCCATGGGGCCCCCTTCCCTGCCAACGCACACACATGCTCATGTTGTACGTGCCACGTTTCTTGCAGATGGCTGACAATGCCTGCAGTTCTAAGTAACTGCTTTTGTTTCGTACCCATCATCTTTAAAACAAACCGCACATCAGACTAGCACATAAAATCATTAATCCACTAATCCATTTGTAGCAACAAAAGCAAAACCATAAGTGTTATTAGTCTGGCTTATTAGCCTAATCATATTTCACAATGCACTAATTGAAACTCTTCTGAAGCAGATTTTCACTTTCTCCCTGCTTTCTGCCTCTGCTTTAAGAAAAACAGACCCGATTATGTTCTCCCCTAATTGCGCATTAGGGCCTTTGCTGCTCAATTCTCCATCAAGACTCTGGTTAAACCTCTGCTGAAGTCAGTAACAGCTGTTTTATAAAACAACAACCAACCTTGAACAAGGACTGCAGCTTTGACCCTCAGTAGAAACTATCTTCAGCAGCTAGATTATGTTCACAGGTAACAGTATTTTGCAATTCTTTTATTTTTTTAATCGTTAAAGCAGTGACACAATTCAGCTTCGATGTCTCACAATTAACTTCTTTTAGTATATTACTATTTATGATCTTACAGTTCTAAAAAGACTTTGGTCTCCCAGAAGGCACAAAGTGGTGACACGCGCTTGGCAGGCCAACTACTGCACAGAAACGAGCAATTTGTGTGCGTGTATGTGTATGGACTGGCAAACGTGTGTGTCTTTATAAACACCTCCCGATGACTTGAATAGCTTTTAGAGCTTCTGAGACCTGTCTGAACCTTTCTCTAGGGGAAAGATGGTGGGACTAACACAGCGCAAGAGAGGTGGGACAATGGAAAGCTACTGTCCGGCTCAGGAAACGTCACTGAAACTGTCAGGAACCAAGAGGAACAGGCAGAGGATGTACCTGTAGCTTGACACAGCTCTTGCACACTGCTTACACTCAACATACCACCCAAGACAGGGACAGACTGCGATGATAAAAAGTAGTGTCCTGGAGAGAGACGTCTAACACGCTATCAAACATCCTAAGAAAAAGGCAGCAATTGGCGTTAGAGGGGTATTGTGTTCAGCAACTGACTCCCTTGGGGGATGCTAACTTTCAGCAAGTCAGAGAACCACAGAATCAGCGTGGTTTGGGTGGGAAGGGACCTTCAAAGGTCATCTAGTCCAGTGGGTCAACATGAATGGGAGGCTAAGCCTACGTAAAGTACTCGGTCTTCCTTGCTGGGGGATGTTTCTCTCATAACCTCTTTCTCTATTTTTCCTCAAACTCTATAATAAATCATAATTTGTTGGATGTAATCATTCAGCGACAGTCAGCTGCCTTAGAACTGTTTACAGGAGCTATAAACAGAAAATATTGTTTACCAACAACATCCTTCTCTGATTGCATATTAGGAATAAGCAAAATAAACAAGCCAGTACATAAATTTAACCGAAGCTATCTACTCAGATGTATCCAGTTCTTAATCGCAGGCTCTGGGGACCCCAGTAAGGAACATTTTTTCATCTTAACCTCTAACCAGGACAGGAAATTCTTTTGCCCTCTGATTTGTTTCCAAGTTTTCAGTATTGAAGAACTGACTGGTTCAAACACTGTGGAAAAGCTTTAGAACAGGATCACGCCACCGCTTTCCCTTCAGCTCCATGTTCCCCTTGGACAAGAACAGAACACTTACGGGATCCTCAGAGGAATCTCTTCCTCTGTCTTGAACCGTCCAGTCCAGAGGAGGATCTTTTTGTCAAACTTCGAAGGTTTGTAACTTGCAACCACCTTGTGAGCCTGCTCAGCTTAAAGATGAGGAAAAAAACGCTTCGTCAAACCATGCACTAAGAGAGAATGATGGGTGGTAGTAGCGGCGGAAGGGGAAAACCCCTGCCCGTCCTGCTCGTTGCAAGAGTAACTCGGGGATTAAACTTCCATGTCTCCGCTACGCAGTTACCTCCACGCCGTCACTTGAATGCCCCCGCATGCAACCAGAGTCGCCGCGGCTCTCGTTCGCCCTCCCCGCAGCCTGCGGGTGCCCAAGCCGGCGGGCGAACGCCTGGGGCCACCCGAGCTGCCGTGCCACCCGCGGGCGACGGTGCGGACCCG